TAAGAGTGAAGTTAAACTGATGTAAAACGTCGTAATATCTAGCTTGGCGTTCATTGAGTAATTGCTTGCTCATGAAATAATCCAAGTTCTTGTGGTCACTCAATATCGTGAATGGCTTTGACACTGATCGGAGTTCGGCTTTCCATTCTTGCAGGCACGTGATTATTGCCAGCATTTCTTTATCGTGAATCGGGTAATTTGCCTCAGCACCACTCAGCCGCTTTGGAAAGTAAGCTACCGGTTTCAGACAACCATGCATGTCTGCTTGCGATAAACAACCACCTAATGCATAACCAGAACAATCAGCTTCCATCACTGTGTCCCGCTCGGGATCCCATTGCGCTAGCACCGGCTCGGTAGAGAAAATATCTTTCAATCGTTCGAATGCTTCGTTTTCTTCTGGTCCCCATTTCCAAACCGAATCCTTTTTTGTCAAATTGGTCAAAGGTGCAGTTAACTCCGAAAATCTATCAACAAAGCATCGGTAAAAATTTGCAAATCCTAGAAACGAACGAACTCCTTTCACCGATGTGGGTGCCTTCCACTCTATAATACTTTTAACCTTGGCAGGGTCCACAGTCACTGAATCCCCAGCCCTCACAATATATCCTAGATACTTTACTACTCGACACAGAAAATCGCATTTATCCAGATCCAAGCACAAGCCAGCCTTCTCTAGCCTTCCCAAGATACTTTGGACTATTCTCCAGTGATCATCCTCACTTCCACTCGTGTATATTAGTATATCGTCCATGTATGCCGTCGCATCAATATCAAGGTGTCCTCGGAGCTGCTCATTAATATATCTCTGGAATGTTGCAGGTGCGTTTGCAAGGCCAAATGGTGTAACAAGCCACTCAAAAAGACCATGGCGACACCTGAAGGCGGTCATCAATTCATCTCCCTCTCTGATTCTAATACGATGGAAAGCTGACTTCACATCTAGTTTCGTGAACCACCTAGCCTTTGAAAGTTGTCGCAAAGTTTCTTTAAATAAAGGAAGTGGATACCGGTCTGGAAGGGTAATCGCATTTAGCCCCCGATAATCCACACAAAATCGTAGCCCTCCATTTGGCTTTCTGGCAAATAACATAGGCGATGCTGCTGGCGAACTACTCGGTCTAATCCATCCCTTACCCAGAAGTTCTGTTAATGTCTTGCGCAACACTAGAAGCTCCTCCCTTGACATACTGTACAGAGGGCCCCAAGGCGGTTGGACTGGCTTCCCATCTTCACTTAGAAGGTTTATAGCATGGTCTAGATGACCTCGAGTTTGCGGGAGATCGTTAGCCCCGCTATCATCAGAAAAGAGGCGCGCAAAATTTTTTACAGGGCCTGGCAGTCGGTCTTGAGCTTCGGAGATCTTGAGCATAGGCTTCGTACGGAGTGCCTTATTTATATCGTCTAAAGAAGCTTTAAATACGGGGACCCCCTTCTCCATAAAAGATAAGGCTTCAACAGGAGAACATTCCGGCTCCTTTATTCCCTTCAAATTGTGACGCCAGCGCCGAGCACTATAAACAGAGCCACCACTCTTCCTAAGTTCCAGCCGCTGCTCTTTGGAGTGGATTACTGCATCCTGATCTTCTAACCATTTCTTCCCTAGTATCATTTGATGTGTACTGTGCGGTACTACATACAGCCACAACTTCTCAGTAAGATAGCCATCGAGGTCTATAGAGACCCAAGTGATGCTTCTCACAATTGGTTTGACTTCGGATGAATTTTCTGCTGTCTGAAGGGTTCGGGGAGAAATAGGTTTGCACGGTAAACTCAGTAGAGCTGTGAATTCTTCATCAATGATACCTGAGCATAGACATCCATTGTCGATTAAGGCTTGCACCATAGTGACGTCGTTAACTAATGCATTGACTAGAAATGGATTTGTGTTCATCTTTGGCTCCTGTTCAGCTACTGTCGTCATTTCTGAAACTTTTTCATCCAATATTATTGGCTCTACAAAATCTTCCCTTTTGGAGTGAGGGTACTCGTTATCATGCACAATTTCGTTGACATAGATATCCTTCTTCTCAAATGATTGGATTGATCGAGAACGTCTTCTTTCTCTTCTGAGCGGTCTGTTACTGGTCATTGCATTAACAAGGAATGGTGATGTGGTCGTCCTCGTTTCATTATTCGTAAGAGAGCTCCTCATTATAGGCCTCTGGGTTGACCAACCTATTCTATCTCTTCGATCTCTCGTATGCCGAATTCCTTTAGTAGGACTTATGAGATTTTGAGAAATGCTACATGGATCCACCTCGTACATCGTTGGATCAATAGGACCTAGACCATCGCCATATGGATCTAATTCGTACATTGCTGGATCAATAGGGCCTAGACCATCGCCATATGGATCCACTTCGTACATTGCTGGATCTATAGGTAAACTTTTCTTCGCTCTTCGTGGGTTAATTGCTGGAAGAAGATGGCACACCCTAGACATACATCCCTGTTCCTCACATCTGAAGCAACTTCCTTCTTTCCGAAGCTTCTCCAGCTGATCCTCTGATTTCCATGTTGCCCTAAGACAATTTTTTTTCTCTCCATGGTAATATTGCAATGATCCCATTTTATCTTTGCCCCCAAATTGACTGATGTGATTGACTGACTGACTGATTGACTGACTGACTGACTGGCTGACTGACTGATTGACTGATTGACTGATTGACTGATTGACTGACTGACTGATTGACTGACTGACTGACTGACTGACTGACTGACTGACTGACTGACTGACTGACTGACTGACTGACTGACTGACTGGCTGACTGACTGATTGACTGATTGACTGATTGACTGATTGACTGACTGACTGACTGACTGACTGACTGACTGACTGACTGACTGACTGAACTGATTAAGGTTCTGAATATCTGAACTAACGGCGATCCTGAATTAGAGAAGAGAGAATTATAATATGTCACGGTTTCATTACAAAATGCATGAGCAATGTTGTAGGTACAATATTTTAATTATAATTCTCTGAAGATTCTGTACTTAATGACTACCTATATATACAGACTGAAATACCCCTCCTCGATAAGGTTCTCTCTATGACCTGTCAACTCAGACTCTCCGACAATCGCCTGTAGATCCTTGATACTTCTGTAACCCTCATGAACTCTCAGTAGGTTTCAACAAGGCTCAATGTGAATCATCCAGGTTCCCTGTCATCCAAGATCTTCCCAGGAACCTCCCTTCGTATAATTGCCTGCGCTAGACAGCGTAGGCTACAGGAACCCTTAGGCTTGACAGCCGTCACATCACCAAACACCAGTCGGTCGGGACTACTAATTATTGAGCCCAGTAGGATCGACAAAGTGTATCCCAACACAGAAATCATAGAAAACTCAACAACCAAATCCTTCATCCATTACTTCCATTAAGCATCACCTGACTCATCTCTGAACTCCATAATTCCAACATTGATTCCTATTTCTCCCGTAATTCTAGGACTATACACACTGATCTTGATCTCTTGATCTCTAAATATAGACATGCGCTAGGAATAGAATATTCTGCGCTTATAAACACAGAATGCAAGCAGTGACCGAAGCAAGCAGCCCACGTACATATGGAGAGTCCCTATTTTTGACCCGAGAATTTTCTCTGTCCAACTTCTTCGCTAGTTGTTCTTAGCCTTCGACACATCCCCCTATCACTATTATCATGAAGCTAACTACGATCAGATCAGATGTTAGGGTCGAAGTCCTCATCATCACCAACTCTGATCATAGAGGAAAAGCTATCTGTTGAGTTTCCGAAGCGTGCCCAGCACCCGATACCGCGATGGTGGATTGGATCAAGTCGACCTCGACTGTTACAAAGAAGGGAGATATAGATGAATATGCGCATCTTATATGTTCCTGGTGTCTAGGCCTCGCCTGGCTGGGGCTGCAGGGTTTTTTGAGACTTTTTCCCGCGCACGCAGTTTGTATTGCTACCATTTTTTTGGGTAGAAGGTTCCATGGCAAAGGTGGCTGGATTCCACGGGTAAACACTGAGCTGAATGGTGTTATGAATGATGAGCACTGGAGATATTCTTGGGATGGACTTAGAGTCAGTTGTGGTATAATGTACGAGAACTAAGATGTAGACTTTAGGAGGGATTATTATTTGCTAAAGTATGATGGATAAATGATGTGATCTATTTTGGACTCTTTTGGGGGCAGTGCCTGACCACCTGTCTAGATACATGAGAAGCTGGTCCGTGCACTGCTATCACTTCTCAACATCCTGATCCTCAACCGATCTCTACAACCACTATGTAGCTTACCTCAATTGTGTAGGCACAGCGACTATGTTGATCCATGACCTAGACCATGCACGTCTCTGCGTTGTGTTAGCATGGACTAGGATTATAACAAATGGCTACTCATCAAGGGGAATATATTAATGATCTTTCAAGTAACAAAAGAAGACAGGAGCACTGTACAAGGTGTGTTCTGGGCCAGAGAGGAGCTTATTGTGCTAGATAATCATAGACTCAAGTAGTACAATAAACACACGTCTCTCTCCAAATTACTGTGGTAAAAGATTGTCAAAAGTGTCGGAAGTTGGAATAATTGGGGCTATCAAGTAGGCCATGTTATTGATGCACACATGACTACAAATTTTGTCCTAGTTTTACCTCGATAGTTACTTGAATCGATGCGCTCTTCAACCTTAATGACTGAGGGTCATAATCTCCTTACGAAAATCGTCGGAAAGTAGTTCACTTGCCGTGCACCTAGCGTGGTGCATCTCTCCGTTGCTGAGTCGTTGTATTGCTGACTCAGCTAACACCACGAACTAAATGTTCGCAATGCTCTTAGATAGAGAAGATAGACGCTAGACATGATACATACCTAACTTTTGTACCTTTAATTTTGCATTGAACTAACCTTACGTATACGTACATTAAGGCCGATCGATAAAAATATAATTTTTCTGCCTTTTCTGATGAATCCTGTAAACGCGTCAAGTCAATTATAATCCAGCCACGAGATTAAATCGTCTTAATCTGTTTCAATCTTCCACATTCTGTTCGGGATTTTTCCGGCTAGTAAAAATTATGGTTTGTCAGCTAGTCTCTCAGGGTAGGAAATAGCACTTCGATGGAGTTTTAAAAGCAATCTTACCTTCAATCTGTCCAATGGTTCTATTAAATGCCATCATCATTCTCGTGTACATCAAATTTGAGTCGCGGGAGTATTCGTGACAATATCTAGTATTTCCAAACAATAGCCTGTGCAGCTCTAAAGCCAAGTTCTTGACATCAACAAAACTGCTTGAGAACTTGAAGTTGATAAAACTTTTGAAATTCGATTCGATTTTATCAAGCTTGTTTTTAAGGTTATCATCCATGTTCTCTGTGCACCACGAATCTAAATTGTGAAATGGAATACTACGGTCACGTCCGTATTCGACGCAACCAGTTATGAAAACGTAAAAGAATGATTCCAAGTCATGAAGATAAGTCGAATTAAAATTAGAGTCACGCTCAGTTCTATTTTTCGCGGCTATTTTCAACGGTTCAATAGCCATAAACTTGATTGTGAACATCTGACTTAAGCTTTTGCGCGTATTGCGACAGTCGTTGTTCGAAATTGAATGATCTTGTTTGATTAATATCCCTTTTGATCTACTGTTCTCTGATAGTACCATTTTAACGATATTATCTTCAGAATTATCGCTATAATTAATTTTTTTCTCATCGTATAAGCGACGGTGCCCCATAAATGCATTTCGTATGACTGTAAGAAATTGCAATACCGATGTATAAGATCCAAGGGAATTTCTGTTTGGTGAAAAAACAACCCGGTTTAGTTCATAATCTTTCAACCCGTAATATCCCGGCGGCTCATGTTCTTCAAAGTCCTCTGATAATTTTTCATCATCAATTAGATTCCATCTTTCAGGACAAACAGCATATAGTTCCTCCCAAAATTCAGTACATTTATGAATGGTATCTAATGCCACTAGATTGGTTTCACCCCTGACCCGGAGTGCAACTTTTGGTAAGTTCATTTCGGATTTTCCGCGAAGCTCGCGCCACGAATATTCGACGAGTAATTCATCGTCAATTGAGCGGTAGCAGGTGGTGCCACATGATATCAATTTTCCTGGCCGGATGATCGGACTAGGGTCAATCTCAATCTCCCTCGTCTTTCCAGGCTCACCATCAGATATTATTATCATGGACCGCTCATCGACTTGACGAACGGTTGTATCGAGACCTAGTTCTTCGTCGCTCATCAGTAAATATGAGCAGATCGCCCGAACCATAGTCTGTTCATCATTTTCAATACTAATAAGTCCCGAGCTGTATGCACCCGTTCTATCAATGAGCCAGAATTCAATCTCCTTATCGAACAAGCAGAATCCATGTACAAACCGACGCAATGGCTGAGCGCAAAATATTTCTGAAACGTAAGTCGCCAATTGGATAAACCTCACTTTCCTTCCATATTCTGCAGATTGTGCCGAAAGTCCAGCTAGCACTCTCACTTTGCTCCAGTCATCAGACCATATTGGAAGGCCAATACTTTTGATGTGGAAATCAAGCTACCCCTGAGCTTCTTTTCCACAAAGTCCTATTCTAGTTGAATGACAGATTTTTCCCCGAAGCGGAAGATCATTCTCTTTCTTGGATAAGGAGGGGAAATGTTCTGATGGTAGCGATGGAACCTCTGAAAGCTGGCTCAAAAAAAGATTGTTGAATGAAGCGAGCCAGTCCCATACTCCTTGCTCAGCCAAGTTGAGACGGAAATTTTTGGGGTTAGTGTCATTCTTATAATTTTCGTAGCTCTCCCAAACACGCTTTGTCTGATCAGACCAGGCTTTCCCTTCGAAAAATCTATCCCAGAAACTTGTAATATCTATAAATGACTTGTGGCCAAGTTCAGCTTCTATAAATCCCGTGGGTGTGGGGGCAAGATTAATATAACACTCTGGGACGCTTAGTGGAACTGAATTTGAGCAGTTCATCGGCGAGGATGGAATCCGTTGAAAAGCAAGTGGTGGAAATATTGTGCATGTTAATATTCCAACAAGATTAATACAAGTTTGCAAAATGAAAGTCTCCTCATAATTCTTTTCGATAGCATAGATGAGATGATTGAAAATGGAAAGATCATAATTTTTATCCGAAATACACAACTTGACATAGATTAACGGTATGTGCGGTAATTCCTCATTTCTACCACCAGATTTACTGCCGTATTGATACAGGTCATTGAAGAATTCTTCTAGAGCCGCTTGGTAGGCTGGGTATTTTTTAGCCTCCAAGTGGAATTTCCCTTTTGAAAGACGACCGTCTGGGCTATACTTAGTTCGGAAGCGTTCCAGAATCGGGCGCATTGGCTTCTCCGCTAGAAGTGCAAGAAGTTGCGAACACTGAGACATTACGTTTATTTGCGAACTTTAATTGAATAGTTTGAAAAAAGCTGATGATGTGGAGATTTTGTTCGCTATACTACTAAGGACTGTTCATGAATTTGTTTCAGAGGGCCACACGATGTGCTATAAGGTACAGTCGTCAGGAAATTTTACTTAATTAGCTTGCGGCTTTAGTCAAACCTCCACACACCCTTGTTCTTGAGTCATACGCACCATTCTGCTTTACTGCATCACCGCCGTCATCGACTAGAGCCTGGCAGAACTCGGGTAGTAACCTAAGGCATCTAGATATTGAAGGAATATTATGAGTTAAAGCTGAGGAATGTGGACAGATCCCAACACCCTACGTGCTGATGCATAGGACCCACGCACACTTCGTCTCGGACTCGGAAAGGTAGTGGAGTTGGGCCGGGTTTGAGAGTAGAGAAGCCGGAAAGTTGGGCAAGAATCACACCCTACAACATATTTTCTCATTATTTAAAAAAAAAATAGATTTCCTCCATTCATTTTGATGATTCGGAAACTTGGCATAACAATACGATATTGAGCCTCCGTATTTCAAGCCAGTCTTCTAGAGAGTTACTCTGTTTTATCTATTAGAAATCACTATAGATGAGGGGGTTATGGTGAGAGAGGGCGATATGTGCAGCTAAGATATAGGATAATGATACTGAACAGACCGGCAATATGTTCCATTAAATGTCCGATTTGCCTCAGGCATAACCTAAGAAGCTGTTTTATAATCATAGTGTATTCATGTTACAGGATTGGGACTTACATGTTTTCTCAAAGAGAAGGGAAGGAGAAAACTACTGATTGTCCTATCTTCCATGATCCCACTTCTGTTGAAGTACAAGTTCGCTCGTCTTCCTCCAGTCAGTTTCCGTAGTCTAGAGCACGTAATCTCATCATATAAGGAAATGGTTAAACTGTCCTTTGCAGCTATTGATGGTGACATGAGTTAAGATGATGATTGTGATTGAGATAGATTTTAATATATTTTATAATACATGATATGCTCCGGCTCATATACCTCGAGCCAGGCAACTAGATTGTGTTCCTCCAGATCTAGTTTCATCAGAATAATTACTTACTCAGTAGATTTCTCCTAGTCTCAGTTGTATGTTTAGGATCTTGACTAGGTTTCTAGTAACTAGTCAATGATGCTTCTCCTATCACTGAGACATAGTCATGGTTGATACAACAGGTACAAACGATGGATCGTGTCTGTACATGACGTTGCGATTTAGACATGATCGTCTGAGCAATATCATTTCATGAATGAATCTTTTTTTTTTCTTTTGCATCAGATTTTAATTGCGTATGCAGCTATCTAGCTTTGATACAATATCAAAGAAAAGTACAGAAAAGATGATTCAACGTAAAGGAAGAGCACTCATGCCTCAGATTTCATTTGAAAGTACCACTGCAAAATTATGGTGGCTTTTTCGTCACCCCAAGGCAACCCTCATCCGTGAATACCCATTCAGGGGAACATCTCAAAAACCCTGGGTTATCCAGACATGCCTCCGTCATCCATCAACTTTTATCCGCGCGAAATGTAATCTGAGATGTCTCCTTCCCAAGTGGAGTAGGTGCCCAGGCTACTCAAACTGTACCAGAGAACATCACCAGGAGGCGGACCACATCACCTTCCATCGTTGGCTTGTTTTTATAGCCTCAGCTGCACTTTCGCAAACGAAGTCTTGGAGCGCACAAAGCTCAATTCGTAAACCTCTTGCCAAGATTCTGAAATTCATGGCCATCGAGGTAATGTCCTTCCTTTGCACTGTTTTGTAAACTTGTCCTGATCCTCCTCACGTCCATCCCGAAGAACTTTCTCCCAGATTTGTGCGCCACGCTTTGCTTCCTCCGTCGGGTATAAATATCGGCGTGGGCGTGTATTTGGTGACCAGCGGAGGCCAGAGAAATTCGACGAGAGGTGTTATCATTGGAATAAGGTTGTACTAGGTCGTACTTGTAGACTTGATGAGGCTTAGGTAGGATTCGATCTTTTTTGGAATGAAAATTTGACGTGGTGGAGTTATTTGAATCATTGCCTCGTGGGCCAACTTCTTTGATATTGCGAAATTTGACTGAACTTGGCTCTGGGAGAATATTTCACTCCCAGGCTCGTAGAGGACACCGCGTACAGGTGTTCAGTCTTGCCCTCCATGAATGGATCATGTCTCTACATGATGAGTGTATGATCGAATGAGGACTTGTCAGGGGTGGTACTGTTTGAGGGGAGCTGTATGGGAGGCATAGGAGGGAATATACTACTGGTATAGGTATCCTTGGCCTGTAGGCAGAGAGGACCTGCATGTCCTACATAGACATAGACTCAGACAGGACAGCAAAATGAATTAATAATAATAATCTACATGATGGGCGCTAATATCGCAAACAAATAGAAATAGGCGCAACTAATTATAGTACAAACTTCCAGACTATGACCAAAAGCTTCTCGGGCCTAGATGCCTTGAGAATTTTACATATTTTGTGCAGGAGACCGGCTGCTTCGGAGGCCAACCTGCGAGTCCGTCTCCAGCTCTCAGCGGAGAGAACATTAATTAGGTCATAGCACGAAGCATGGCAGGAAGGAAAACGAGACGAGAAGTGTCTATCCCACCTCAAATTGGAGTATTGCATTTGGAATTTTTTGTTAAAGGGAATTTATGGATGTTTTTATTTTTATTTTTAACTAGCTACTGGTTGTGTAGTGGTTCGTGCGGTGAAACCGAGGTGGGCATGCGGAAAGCATGATCTCGGCCGTGTACGCCGGCCCTTGACTCCTAGGAGATATAGAGCTTAGCTTAGGACCATAAAATCAAAAAAAAAATAATAATAAAATAATGATTCCAGGGAGATAATAATAGATACCGTGGCAACACGGTGAGGTTCCTGATGGATTAGTATGTGTAAAAAGTGAGATAAGCTTAGCTTTAAGATGGCGTAGATTACGGGTGTCTCGTGGCTCCATTCTACCAATATGTATAGTAGAGCTTAAGACTAGATGTAACTTGGTTTTCTATCAATACAAGGTATCGTCTATATAAGTACAGTATTCCTAATCTTGGGCCCGGACTCCAACATGAACAACATTACATAAGCATTAAAATTTATTAGAGCCTCGTACTAATCTAGAGGTCTGCCAATCTTGA